GACCATTTTCATTTATATAGTGCTCTGTGAACACAAATTAGTTAGCATAAATCAGTTAAATGACGAAAAATTAGGTGTCGACCAGTTTAATTTTTCTGACCATATTGTACAGCTAAGTGCTATATTTAAATGAAATGACGAACAGTAAGTCCTAAGTAGTCTCTGACACTGAAAGACGTAATCGAATTATACACTTCTCACTACCTATAAGATAAACTTATCCATGCAATCTGGTGCCGAAGCTTTTGGTCTGAATAGTTAAAAACTAATTATATTTTAAATTTTAAGTTTTAGTTTGTTATATGGCTATGCTCTAAATTTGAATCAGTAAACTATTAAAGATGAATAAACATAACTGCAACCTCTTTATAAACACCACGATATATAAATAGGCCTAAGTTTTATAATAGGCTACTTAGACATTTAAATAAAATAAAAATTAATAAGCCCGAACATAAAGTTATGGAAAACAAATGCAGGGTTCGGCATGAAGCACCTTGCACTTTGTCAGTACCGACTACACCTTCATAGAAAGTGTATAATTAAGATCACCACCTGAAATACTAATAAAGTAAGGTGCTGCGAAAGTTATATAAAACATATTTACTGAGATAGCATGCTAATTTAAATAATAATCTTACAAACAATCATTCAGTAAATTCGTTTTCCTCTAAGCAACAATAACCGTCTTGATACAGACGAAGAAAAGAGGAGTAGAGAGAATTTCTTAATTCTGCAACTTAGATTGGAACTCCGATATATGATTTTTAATTATAAAAGAAGTTCCTGTTTTAAATCGAACAGTATGGTATATCGCAACGTTAATAAAATAAGTTGAAAAAAAGTATTAAAACATCAACTAAAATAAAATAATATATTACAGTTTTTGAGCAAATGTTCTTCGTCAGATAGTCGTACTGTTTTAAAAGATGCAATTTTTATTTTAACCAAGTCCTCCCGTAGGTTAGTAGAAATTAGCACACCCATAATTTTTTCCCTCACTGGTGCTTTTGTAATTTTTATGATATTAATACTAGTAGGAAACTACAGAACATAACTACTTTTGAAACGTATTGTTCTAGAATTTATTAATTAAAACATCTGAACCGAAATTATTGTTTCGTACACTGTACATGGTATGTTATTGCTGTTTTGTCTCAGCGCAAAGCTACACAATGGGCTATATACGCTCTGTCTACCACGGGGAGCCCGGCATGGCCAGGTGGTTAAGGCACTCGACTGGCAATCTGAGGGTCGCAGGTTCGAATCCCCGTCCCACCAAACATGCTCGCCCTTTCAGCCGTGGGGGCGTTATAATGTGACGGTCAATCCCACTATTCGTTGGTGAAAGAGTAGCGCAAGAGTTGGCGGTGGGTGGTGATGACTAGCTGCCTTCCCTCTAGTCTTACACTGCTAAATTAGGGACGGCTAGCGCAGATAGCCCTCGTGTAGCTTTGCGCGAAATTAAAAAAACAAACAATACCACGGGGATTAATAATGGCTGGAGACGGCTTGAATGGGTAATGAAGAAAACTTTAATATAAGTTTAACATAACAGCAAATGTACAACGTTTCGACAAGGTTTATGTTAAACTTATATTAAAGATTTTTCTTCATTACCCATGCAAACCATTGTTACGTCTCCGTTTGTTAATTAACTTTCCGTAAGTTCGTTTCCTACGAAACTTTAGCGACACAAGTCCTTACTT